ACTCTCTCATCAACGGATGACACTTGTATCTTTTCTCTGTTTTGCCTTATGATTGGTGCAGGCAGCTTAGAAGTTTTCCCTTGGTGAGAGGGGTTACTTATGGGTAGTAGATTTATATTATCGATACCACTTTTGGACACATTTTTGATTATTTACTTTAAAGTACTTTTGCTTACATTTTTAATGGTCTGGAATTATGTTTGAATTTTGAGGTAACATTGTGGTTTGAAAATGTTTTAAATTAAAAAACTAGTCTTCCGCTAACGTATTCTGTTAAAGATAGTTTTAAAAAGAAAAAACGTTTGTGGTAAAAATCAAGACATTACAAGTTGGTATTAGAGCGATGCTGGGAGTGAACTGAATATAGATATCGGTGTTCAGACTCACAGTGTAGATTGGCTTAATTAGGTTGCTTCAGAATCTTAAGGGGGAGGATGTGTGATGAATGTATTATGTTCTTAATAGGTTAATCACACTTAGAAAATTTATACCTCCTTATCTTATTAGAATCATTCCTTTTGTTATCTAGTAAAATTAAAATCCTTTAATCGTTTAGATGTATATCTTCACCACAAGAGAACATTGGTAATAGAGATGGCCAGAGTGATCGATGTTATCATTGAGAATGTCTCTCGGACGCTTCAACTAGATCATGAACCCCAGGTGCGGCCAGTCATGGAAATTCATGACCCATACATGGTTGCACGCCTTGAAAAAGTGGAGGAAGAGAAGAATCTTCAAGGGGCTCAAATAATGGTGATGCAGAAGGTCCTACGAGATGTAGGGCTAATGTTTGATGAGGTTGGAACTATTAAGGATATCATGAAAATTGAAGCATAAAACTTCAGGGTGGGTCACTCATCTCAGAACCGTGATGACACACATGGTATAGGGAAATGAAAGGCGGAGGGCCAATTTGAGTCATCGAAGAAGAAGAAGAAGAAGAAGAAGAAGAAGGTTCTTTAGGTTGTAAAGAGTGACAAGGTGAGTTTCTATGTGAAATGACACTCCTCACATAAGGGTTCATGTCGTAGCAGCATTGTTACTTGTAGGCATTGTGGAGGTCCGAGCCTTAAACAGGTGGATTGTAGGAGCCCTGTACACGTCTACTATAATTGCAGACAGATAGGCCACATCAGTGGCCAATACCCTAACCCGAAGACTTAGGGTGATGCAGGTGGTAAGAAAACCAAGGCGCCTAAAGGGAGAGCTTGTGCAATTCAGATGCCTGTTAAGGAAGCCAAATGCGATGATGATGTATTATCAGAACTTATTTAGCTAAGTTCTTGTTTGAGATGCATTATTTATATTTGATGACAACGATAGTAAATTACTTGTATATTGCTACTTTCTGTGCTTTTTTGGTGTTACTTCAGATTTTTCTAAATTTTTCATCATAGACATTGTCATAGCGGTAGGGAATCTTGTTTTCATGTTTTGGGTAATATATGATGAGTGTTCTAATGTGATGGTTGGGTAGAATTTTTCCCTTTTACTTGGACTCCGATCGAGATCAATTCATGTGAAGTCATCATTGATATGTTTTCGCTGTCTTCCAGTTAAACTGAAATTCTCTACATTGGAAGGCATACACGTATTTCACGTTCGTATGAGGGTGTGTCTACTTTCGGGAAAGGAAAATTCTAGAATTCATTTCCATCATTTGTACTTTGTGAGGAGCAAGTGTTTAGTGAGGAGGTGTGAGATTTCCTTGAATCGTGTGATAGAGGTCTCAAGGAAGTCAGAGGCTACCTTTTTTTCGAGGTGGTCAAGGAGTCTCAATGGTTAATCGTTGAGGGGTGATACTGAAAGATTTTCCTTGGACAAGAATTATTTTTTTTGACAATCGAGGCAAGATAAGATCTGAGTGTCTTGCTGATAGACAAGTTGTTAGTCAACTGATTGATTTATGAAATAGGAGGTCTAGTAGCTATCTTGGTTAGAGAGAGACCAAGAGTGGGTGATGAAACGATTCAAGCTCATTAAGTTCAAATGGGAGGACGTATACATGTCATAAGTGACCTAGGGGGATAAAGATGATGTGAAGGTTCGTTACTTTAAGTGGTTCGTAGTTGTAACTGATTCAAAGGACATAATCATTTCAAGGAGGGGAGAATTGTAACGACCCGAAAAATTCTTCCGTTAATGTCGTTAGCTTTCCATTACTTGAATATAATTTGTTGTAAAGCTATTTTGATTCTAAGAGTATTAAAATTGAATAAATTAAATAAAAAAAGATGTTATTTAATATCTAACTCTATTAAATGGCTCGGAGTCATTATGGACTTAGGGTTGATACGGACCCGACACAACTAATTGTTGTTATATAGGGTTGATACGGACCTAGGTGTTGTTACAGACCTAGCACAGCCACGTGTTGTTATATTTATGTGTTTGGTGTATGTGGTATTTTGGGAAAGCTCACTAAGCTTTGTGCTTATAGATATGTTTTTGATTTCAGTACTTCTGACACAAAAAGGGAATGACTCAACATGATGACACATCATCCTCCCCCTCATGATTCCACATTTTATGATATCTGTTACTCTGATATTCTGTGATAGTTGTATTTTGGATGTTTTCGAGACATGTAATGTTTGGAATAATGAATTGAAAAATGAAAATTTTTACTTATAGATTTTTGGTCGTTACATGGTTCTTGGGATTTAGTTCCTATTCTGAAAGGCAAAAGACCAGATAAACGCAAGTAGGTCTACAAGCTCAAGGAACCCGTCAACCCAAATGAGAAACCAAGGTACAAAGCTCGGTTAGTAGCTAAAGGCTAGATCCAGATTCCTGGTATCAATTACACTAAGATTTATTCCCCAGTTGTCAAGCATACTTCTATCTGTGTTTTGTCGGGATTGGTTGCTTCTAATGATTATGAATTAGAGCAACTTGATGTTATTACAACTTTCTTAGACGGTGTGCTTGATGAACAAATTTTTATGCACCAACCTGAGGGTTTTGTAGTTCTTGACAAGGAGGATTACGTGTGTAAATTGAATAAATCTATTTATGGCCTCAAGTAATTTCCTAAACAATGCTATAAAAGGCTTGATTTATCCATGATCAGTCATAAATTCAAGAGTTGTGCCCATCATAATTGTGTTCATTACAAAAAAAAATGTGATGATGGTTTGATGATCTACTTACTCTTATACGTGGATGACATGTTGATCGCATAGAAAGATATGAAGGAGATTTAGAAATTAAAAGACCAGTTGAAAGCTGACTTTGAAATAAAGGACTTAGGAGTTGCCAAAAAGATTTTAGATATGAAAATTGTTCGTGATAGGAAATCTAGGTCCTTGCATATTTTTTCAGAAAAGTTACATTGAGAAAGTCCTAAGACACTTTAATATGCATGAAGCAGAACCTGTTAACACACCTTTTGCAACTCATTTCAAGTTATCATCTCGTTTGAGTCATATTACTGAGACTGATATGGCTTACATGACATGTGTTATGTACTTTAGTGTTGACAGGTCTTTAATGTATTCTATGATTTGCACATGCTTTGATTTGTCTTATGTTGTTAGCATGGTTAATAGATACAAGGCGAACCTAGGGAAAGAACATTAGAAAGTTGTGCAATGGATATTTTGTTATTTACCGGGTATGTCTTCTATTTATCTACTTTTTGGTAAGTCTACCACTAGGTGCTTGGATATGTTAATTCAGACCATGCTAAGGATCTTGATAAATGAATATTTATTATAGGGTATGTGTTTACTTTCAATGGTTATGCTATTAGTAAGAAAGCTCTGTATTTGCTTTGTCATATGATAAGGTAGAGTATATGACGATTACAAAAGCAGTGAAGGAAATATCTGGTTGAGGAGTTTATTTAGTGAACTTGACGATAGATTGAAGGTTACCACAATATTCTATGGCGATCAAGGTGCCATCTTCTTGAGTAAAGGTCAAATGTTTCATGACCGAACAAAGCACATTGATTTCATTTTGTGTGGGATATCATTGAAAAAAGAGATTGTGTCGTGGAAAAGATTCATACCAATTATAATCCCCCAAATATGTTCACTAAAAGGCTTCTTATCGCCAAGCTCAAACTATGTTTGGACTTGATGGGTGTTTCTTATCGCAATTAAGTTTGAATGGCTCGTTGGTGGAGGAAATATTTTTCTTTTCGAAATCAATTTTTATCTAAATGGTGATTGCAGGATCTTATGGAGTTTGATGAGTTATTGGTGTTTAATGTTCTTAGATGTTTGTTGGGGCAAGTTGTAGTTTTCATTATCTATTTTGAAGTAAAGGTTGAGATTGTGGAAATATGTCTTCTAAAATTGACAAGTTCTGCTTAGTTCAATGTATATGTTGCCTTTCTAGCCATCCATGTCTAAAATGAGTGTTTTAGGTTTAAAAATGGCATCAAGTCTAAAATGGGTGTTTTAGGTCTAAATAGGGCATCAGATTTAAAATGAGTGTTTTAGGTCTAAAAATGACTTGTTCCTGAAATGTATTTGCTCCATTCTTGAAGGGCCAAATCTACCAAATTGACAAAACTTTTAGAGAGAGAGAGAGAGAGAGAGAGAGAGTTAGTTTTGAAGACTTATTCTTCTTCCCCCCCCCCCCCCCCCCTTTCAGGATCGCCAATTTCTAGGGTTTCAACCCTTTACCACCATATCATTATAGTTCATTGTAATATCTTTGATCAAGTTATATAAACACTCCAATATCTTAGTGGATTGATTCTCGACTTCCTTGGTCCGTGGATTTTTTTTTTCCAATTTGGAATTTCCATGTAAATCTTTGTGTCTCTTAGATTTATTGCTTTACTAGATTTACATTTCCGGGTTAAACTAATATGTTACTCTGATTCAGATTTCTGGGTTGTTTGATGCATTAAGATTTTTTTTGTTTTTAATTGATCTTTATCCTCTTTGTTTACTACATTAAGAAACAAAACTATTTAGAAAAAAAAAAATCAACTTTTATATATAGTTAGTATACACCCTAAAAATCCAAACCGGTTAAAAGTCATCCGGATCGGTTTCTTAAACCGGTTTGTGTACCTCAGCCTGGAACTGCTTTAAAGAATAACAACATGGTGGGCTGAGCCCTGTTCGATTTTCTTGATGATGTAAGAATTGAGTAAACTAAAGAGGGGTTTTCTCAAATCGGGCCAATCTGTAAATCAAATTCAAGCTAAAATATCACGAGTAGCGACACTCATTTGCTTCTAACTTCTTAGCATACACGCTTGCCGCTCGAAATTCAGTTCTTCTTCTTCTTCTTCTTCTTCTTCCTACCAGAAAGAATGGACAATCATCAAGTATGAACCCTAGTCTTTTACTCTCTTCTATTTATCATCGGTGTTTTGGAAATTCTATGTTTACTAGGTCTATACCCATGCTATACATTAAACCAAGTGTTTTCATATGTTCGAATTACAAAAAAGATGTTTCTGCTCCTTTTTTTGGTTAATGTGTCTATTACATTTGTCTGAAATCTTGTGTTTAACATCGAAAACTACTGTTGATGATTGTTATTCATGATAATCCACAGGCTGATGAGGAACATGAATTAGTTATGGAGCTCTCTGAAAAAGATTCGCTCTTGGAAAAAAAGAAGGTTAGGATTCTCAATTTCTCATAGTCGTATATGTTTCTCCACTCTATTATGCGCTACGTTAATTTTTATCTTGCTAAATGGTTTCTCAATCTCATCTTTCTTGACAGAAATTATTAAAAATCAACCATTTTGACCCTAATGGAAAAGTCAAAATCAAGAGCATTTGTAGCATTGAGTTACTGAATTCTGTTTTGGAAGAGATGCTCCAGAGAGCTCGAATCATAAATGCAGATGAGGTCAATAATATCACACATTGCTTTATCTTTCATCAATAATAAAAACACACTTTAGATTTCACAACCAATATGCTAAAATCATGAGTTATTGATTATTAGGTTGACCTTTACTTTGGAGGGATTGATGCTTTTGGATTTTGTAGTCCAAGAAATGAATTGGAATCTCTTCATACAATCTTATCACTTGTTGACAAGTCAAAGTCAACAAGTGAACAAATAAGACCAAAAGTCTTACAAGATCTTATGAATGCAACTTTAAACAAGATCCATGAATTTAGTAGCAACATTATAGAGGACACTAAGATTCTTTCCAAATGGAATTTACACAAGGAGAAATGTTTACTACAATGGGGTGAAAGCAATGGTGTTAAATCCAAACTTGATATTGCTTGTAAGTGTAATTTTATTGTTTTTTTTAATAGAAAATAGATAGTGATTTATTAATCATGTAAAAAGAATGACTTAATAGAGAAAGTCAGGGAAATGAGACCTTTCCAATTAAGTCCTAACTTTTAACAAAATTGTAATTTTGTTTTATATCGCAAATTATATAATCATTTTCTGAAAAAAATAAAAAAATAATATTGAAAACAGTTGTTGAAGGAGGTGGAAGGGGAGGTATAGCAAGAGAAGATCTTGAAGTTGGAGATATTGCTTTGGAAATTCCTTTGTCTGCTATAATTTCAGAGGACCTACTTCATGAAACCACTATGGTTTGTTTGTTTTGTTTACTAGAATTTTAATTTTTTTAATAATTATATAAATTAGGGTTAATCTCAAAAAAAGACTTTATAGTTTGTGTATTTTCTGGATTAAACCTCAAATTTGTTTTTTGCCATAAAAAAGGCCTTGTATTTTTTCATTTTTCCGAAAAAGCCCTCAACTTTGTATTTTTTTTCTGAAAAAATCCTCAACCTTCTAAATGCATCCCAAATAAACCCTCGACTTTTTTAGTTTTTCTTGAAAAAAACCTTACATTTTACAATCTTTTTTGGAAAAGAAAAAGACTAAAAGGGCCAGATTGGAAAAAATGAAAAAAAATACAAGGTCTTTTTCAGGCAAAAAATAAATTTGAGGTTTAATCCGAAAAAAACACAAAATAAAAGATTAACCCTATAATTTAATATTTGTTCCATTTTAAATTGTTAAGTTCACAAATACGTATGGTAAGTTTAAGTATATTTGATATATGAAAAAATCGAGTCTTTTATGCAACTTTTGACATAGAAAAATCAGGAATTTCAAGAGAGGTTTTCTAAATTTTATTGATGTGAAGCTTTTTACATTTTTTTTTTTTTTTGTGAATTGCAGTTTCCAATATTAGAAAAAGTAGATGGTATTTCGTGTGAGACAATGTTGTTATTGTGGAGTATGAAGGAGAAGTATGACAACAATTCAAAATTCAAGATTTATTTTGATGCTCTACCAGAAGCATTTAATACAGGTAGTAAAGATAAATCATAAATCATGTTTAAAAAAAGGGTTAATTACATAAAAGACCCTATTTTTTTCAGATTAAACCTTAATCCCTAAAAAGCCCTTACATTTTTCCAATTTTTTCGATTTGGTCCTTTTAGCAGGTTTATTGGTAATTTCCTGGTTTTAAACAAAGATGTAAGGGCTTTTTTAGAAAAAAAAAAGATTGAGGTTTAATCCGATAAAATATAAGGGCCAAATCGAAAAAAATGGAATAATGTAAGGGCCAAATTGAAAAAAGGAAAAATGTAAGGGCCAAATCGAAAGGGTTAATCTAAAAAAACACCTTATAGTTTGTGTTTTTTTTTTCGGATTAAACTTCAAATTTATTTTTTGCTTGAAAAATACCTTGCATTTTTTTCATTTTTTCTGAAAAAGCCCTCAACTTTGTATTTTTTTTTTCTGAAAAAAACCTTCAACCTTCTAAATGCTTCCGAATAAACCCTCAACTTTTTTAGTTTTTCTCGAAAAAAACCTTACATTTTACAATTTTTTTTGGCAAAAAATTTCTAATAGGGCCAAATCGGGAAAATTGAAAAAATACAAGGTTTTTTCAAGCAAAAAAATAAATTTGAGGTTTAATCCGTAAAAGACACAAAACATAAGGGTTTTTTTTATTTTTGAGATTAACCCATTGAAAACATGGAATAATGTAAGTTTATTTTAGAAAAAAAAAAGTTGAGGTATAAGCCGAAAAATACTCAATATTTTATGTAAATAACCCTTTAAAGTTATTTGATAAATGAGAACACACTTTGGGAAATGAAATCAAAAAACAAAAAAAAAAGTTATAAATTTGTTAAAGATTTGTATTAAGTAAAAAAGAAATACTTCTTAGATCTATAGAATCACAGGGTTAAGCTTTGGAATGGAGGCAATCATGGCATTAGATGGAACATTGTTGCTAGAAGAAATAATTCAAGCAAAAGAGGTCATCAATTTTTTTCTTTAAATATTGTTTCACTCATAATAATAGTTTTAGACCTAATTATACTAGGTGTAAATTTATTGTTTCTTTAAATGAATCTTGATTTTGTTTATGTTTGCTTCACATTTGCAGCACTTGAGATCTCAATACAACGACTTAATTCCATCATTATGCAACAATTATCCAAATATCTTTCCTTCAAATCTTTACACATGGGAAAAATTCTTATGGGCTTGTGAGTTATGGTATTCAAATAGCATGAAAGTGATGTTTAAAGATGGGAATCTAAGAACATGTTTGATTCCCATTGCAGGGTTTCTCAATCATTCGGTTTGTCATTTGTCATTTATCATTTGTTAATTCAATCTCTTCTTTTTTATTAAATGCAAGAAATATCAATGTACTTTGGTAACCCATTCTAATCATTTTTCAGATAACCCCACATATAATGAACTATGGAAGAGTGGACCCCACCACAAACTCTTTAAAATTTCCTCTTTCAAGACCATGTAACAATGGAGAACAATGTTATCTTAGTTATGGGAACTTGTCTAGTTCTCATTTAATTACCTTTTATGGTTTTTTACCAAAAGGATACGTTGACAACCCCTATGATGTCATTCCACTTGGTAATATTTTCTTTTATCGTAATGTCGTTTATCAAGAAAAGAAAAATGGTATTATTGTCAATTTGTCATGTTTTGATTACAGATATTGATCTTGATAACAAAGAAGATGTGAATCCGATGTGTAATTGGTCTACTCATATGGTGAGGGGGACATGGCTTTCGAAGAAGAATGGAATCTTCAATTACGGGCTTCCAATTCCGTTGTTGGAACATCTCCGTGAAGCTCGTATGTTGATGTTGGAATCAAATATTGAGGTAAATAATATTAATATTTCTTATTTGGGATTTTGACATGAAAGTCTTTAATTTTGTCAGATTTTGTCTGGTTTGTCCTTTATGACGATTTTTTTTCGTTAATAGCAGGTTTACAGGTTACAATTAAATCAAAGCTTGCAAAAAAAAAAACACTTAAGTTTACAAAACTTTTGCATTTTTTACCCTAAGTATACCTTTTTTTTTTTTTTTCTCTAAAAAACGTAATGTTTAGTTAAACTTTTTTTTCGTGTATAAATACATTTTTTTCTGTATGAATACGTATAATATGAAAAAAAAATTAAATACTTAGGGTAAAAACGTAAAAGGTTTATAAACTTAAGGTTTTTTTTTTTGAAAATTTGATTTGGTAACCTAGAAACGTGCAATTATAGGTAACAAGAGAAAAAATGAAAAAAACTGGACATTAACGAAGAAAAAATCGTCACAGGGACAAAAACCGACAAAATTTTACAAACTTAAGGACTTTCATGTCAAAAGCCCTTCTTCTTTTATTGTGTTGGTTTTGTATATTGGTGTAAAATGTTGGATTTATTTAGTTATTTAGATGTGAGTTATATGTGTGTGTACTATTTAGGTGCAAGAAAAATTGGAATTGGAATTGGAAATTCTTGAAGACCTTCAATCTACATTTGATGCCATGATGGAAAACTTGGGTGAGACCGAACCATTGGGAAGGTACATAAGTGCTTCCGCCATCTGTCAGTCATGAAATGACAGAACAGTACAGTACAGGTTGTACTGTATTTGACATGCATTGGACTGAGACTGATATTAATGAGACAAAAACTGTAAATTTATGTCCCGTTCAAGAAAGGTGGGACAGGGATGAGCTCTTTGATCTCTTGCAGTGCAACCTGTTTTGTCTTGTCTTATGTGTCCTGCATGGCATAACAAACTATGGAGTTACGATTTTATAATATTACGCTTTGTTTATTTATAAATTCTCTTTTTTTTTTTATTTGAATAGAGAAAACTGTGATTGGGATGTGAAGCTTGCGTTGGATTTCAAAGAATTACAAAAACGGATCATTTCATCGATTGTAAGTTCATGTTACAATGGTAAAAAGTTTGTAGAACAAGAGTTGCACAACTGCAAATGTGTATAATTTTTCCTCCAAATAAATTCCATAAGCATTTTTGGTTTTTATTTTATATGTCAATTAATGACTTTCTTAGTAAACGAGTTTCTATTATTTAATGTTAGTTTTTAATTTTGAAGTTTGTGTATGAATAATAGTGTAACAGCTATTTAGTGTTAATTTCGAAGTGTGTAGTGTGTACATATTTATTGAGGTTAATACTTAATAACGTTCTATCTTGAGAAATGGGTTTCATAAGATTTATTGGTTATTATGCTTTGGTTTTGACATTCATAATGCTGATTTTTTTGGGTTGTTTAATTACATTTTTTCCAATTAATCAAAAGTCATATTTTTGAAAGAGTTTTTTACTCCGACCATTTTTGGTTTAACAGGTATTAAAATTAATATGAATTCTCAATTACATATATGATATTATATGTATTTTATGAAATAACATGTTACTTTCTAAAAATGACTATAATTTTCCTATTTAACAAATTATATACGTATCATGTAGGTAAATGAGTAGTAAGTTCAAGAATTTTGATTTGATTCTTTATATGATTCTATATAGGTTAATTAGAATCCAAGTTAGTCTTAAACACCAACTAAACTGGAAATACAGATTCACATGGAAATTTCTTGCAAAACGTTATTGGTTTTCATTGTTCGAACAAATATAATGGTTAAACTGTAAAAATGCCAAAGCTTTTATGTACAATGTTAGAGTTTGACACAGTTTAACAATATGATTTAAGTAATAGAGATACATAAAGCCTAAGATGCATTAACAATATTTCTGAAATAAAATACAATATTTTTGAAATATAATCAATGTTACAATGATATTTAAAGATCATATTCGATGTATATTATATAACATACAAACTCCAACAAAAACACTAAGTTTTAAGCTAATTTTATTAGACAAAATTGCAAAAATAGTCCTTGTGATATGCATTTTTTCTGAGATTTAGTCAAAATCTTGAGTTTTTTTTGGCATTGCGGTCCTTTGCCCATGTTTCTATGTGGTTTTAGTCCCTCTAAAAACTGAAATTACTGCAATACCCTTATGTATTTATTTTTTATTTTTCTTTCGGTTTTTATCGATTTAAATAATTAACTCTCTCTCTCTCTCTCTCTCTCTCTCTCTCTCTCTCCAAAAACTCAGCTACTCCCTTATCTTCTTCCCACATGTCTGCCATCTTTTCAACATCGGCACACCACCTACAACCTCATATTTGTTACAGTTCATTGACGAGCAACACCTCCTTCACATCATCATTCCCATCGTCTACCACTATATTCTTAAACTAGACCTGCATATAAAGAGAAAACACTCACAAGTTAATCGTTCTTCAACTGGGTTTACAACATTCTCGTCTCCTTCAAGTGTTTTATTATTATTATTATTATTATTATTATTATTATTATTATTATTATTATTATTATTATTATTATTTTAATTATTGAACTTATATCTCAAAACTTCAATTATATTCGGAGATCTGCTTTGATTTATGTTGTTCCTAACCCCTTTTCTTCTTAAGAACCCTAATTTCTCTGATGGTGTTGAGAAAATGGGTTTAGAGCTACGACAACGGAACGTGAGAAGGAACGTGAGAAGCAGATGATTAATTATCTACTTCCAGAAGAAATTGAAGAATTTCTTGGGATTCCTACAAGATCTGTACGTTCTTTTTTCTCTGACAGATGGTCAAAATTTCATCTGGGTTCGAATCCTGCTGAGATGTCTACTAGAGATCAGAAATTGTTGAAGAAACAACAAAATCTTTATTTTCTCAGGCGATCGGAAAATAAAGAAATGATTAATCTATTCAATATAATTACGTATTTACAAAATACCGTCTCAATTCATCCAATTTCATCAGATTCGGGATGTGATATGGTTTCGAAGGATAAAACGGATATAGGCAGTTCCACCAAGATTTCATTCTTGAATAAAAATCCATTTTTTGATTTATTTCATCTATTCCATGACTGGAACATGGGAGGATACACATGGTGGTAATAAAAACTCTAATATGTTCCTGAGTGAAGATGGTGCCCTAATTGTGTGTATCCCGATGATGAACAACATGGATAGAAACCCTTACATAGGTCTGTGTCGAACCAAAGGTTAGGGTAATGATTCAAAGCAGTAACGATGATGACAACACTGATGGAGAAAATGAAAACCTAGACACCTAAAACTCTAAAAAGGTGTGTGTAAGTGAGAAATAAGAAGAATATGATGATGATGAAGGTGGGGGAATTTAGGTGTGAGTTTCTTTTTTCTGGTGCGGTGATGATTTCGATTTGGGATTAGAACACCCAGAGTCCCATAAATCATCCATGGCAGAGTCAAATGATTGATTTTGATTCTAGGCATAGTTTAGTATTACACCATGATATTTGGTTGGTTTAGGGCTAGATTTTAAAGACAATGAATGAGAGTATTACGATTTAGGATTTGGACTGAGATGTAAAGATAATATAATGGGAGGTTAATGTCTTGATGGGTGGCTCTGAAAATGGAAACACGGATGTGATTGTGTTTAAATGCTTCAATGCCTACTCGAATTTGATCTGTGATTAAATTCTTTCAATGTTTAGGAAGTAAATAAGAAACAAGGGAGTATGCCTTTGAGGTTTAAAGTCTTTACCCAACTTTATATATCAGTTTTTTTATTGAAACCAACAAGCCATGAGAGAGGGGGGGGGGGGGTCTTTATTTGTTTTTAGTTTTAAAATTTTAAATAAAAGGGGAAAATGTTTTAAGAAAATAGAAAAACAAATTAAAAGGGTAGATTAGTCTTTTCAAGTTTAACAAGGACTAATTCCACACACAAACTACCTCGAAAGGACCATAAAACCAAAAAATAGTGGTTTAGACTAAACCTCAGAAAAAATGCATACCGTAGGGACTCTTTTTGCAGTTTTGTCATTTTATTATAACAAATTAGAGTAAATTGCACAAATGGTCCCTATGGTTTAGGGTAATTTGCACGTTTGGTCCCTAACTTATTTTTTTTAACTCGGAAGATCCCTATTGTTTGTTTTTGTTACGCGTTTGGTCCATGTCTTACCTAAAAAGACTATTTTTCCCTTGATTTTTTAATTTATTTAAATAAACATACCCCAACCCCACCCCACTGACCTTACCTTACATACTCCACTATTTTTTCTCTATTTAAATAATAGTATATTTAGGTAAGACAAGGACCAAGCGCGTAACAAAAACAAACTGTGGGGACCAAGCGTGTAATAAAAAACAAACAATAGGGACCTTCTGAGTAAAAAAAAAGTTAGGGACCAAACGCACAAATTATCTCCAAACCTTAGAGACATTTGTGGAATTTACTCAATAAATTATTACTTTTTAAATTACATCAAGTTTTGTGAAACATTATGTTCTTTGGGCTTAGGAAAAGGGCCATTCATAACCCAATCTATCTGTCCGAAATATTTGCATCTAATCGGCTTGATTCTTTTCGGTTGTTTCTTCATTACATTTTTTATCTCCTCTCTTTAAGATTCTGATCAGCAATTAATCGACAATCAAGCTCACAGTTTCAATTAATCTTTTAGGAATGTAAATATACACATTAGATGCTATAACAGTAAGTTGATTTCTCAATCCACGTAGTTATATAAATCTAAATTGCAACCAATTCATTGCGCAATTTCAATTTCAGATTCATTCATCTGAGAAAATCTACACTCTCTATGCAATCTCTACTATGAATATCACATTAATCACAATTCATCTGATTAACGATCTCATGATGAATTCCGAAGATTAAACCGATCCGAAGAGCTTCAGTTTTTCAACCGTCAGTTCAATCATCGATATAAACCCTAGATCTAATCAAATTTAGGGTTAGAGTTATACAGAAATGTCTTGTTTAGCTTTATCTCTTCAACCTATGAATGGATCCGATATCCTTCTCCAAACACGTGAGTGGTTCCTTCCGGCTCGAGCGTTGGTCGCCCTGTTAGCTTCCCGGCAGACGTGTCTTGCTTTTGCCACCAAAAAAAACTAGAATGCGGAGGACGGCGACACCTCTTTCCATCAGAAGTGTCTTGTTGTGAGCCAAACCTTCACCATGGTGTCACATCGCATCCATGGAGTGTAATCTTCCGACGTCTTCTCAGGTTTCAGAATAGACCCATCAATGAACCCTATATTATTCTTGGCAAAGAGAAAGTTGATCGTCTCTTGAGACTAATCTGTATAGTTATTATCGGTAAGGGTATCATTGAAGTGGAAATGTTTTGGGTAGTCGGATGCATGGATATCGAATGGTGAATTGGCATACGCTCGACCTCCGTTTTTCTTTAAAGAATCAACAACATCCTCGGTTATAGTGGTTATTGGGTTTGAGGGTGATTAGGGTTTTATGTTGTGACTGATGGGTTTTTAGCAAAAGAACATTCTTATGTGCACATGCAAAACCCTAAAGCTCTAGATCTAGGTTTCTCTATTGTACATGCAAATTTATCCAAAGCTTGTAAACCCTAAACTAGCATACTATAAAATTCAAAATCTACATCTAATACAAGTTTAGATGATTACCTTTGATAGCAACAAGAATCTTCAATATTCAAGAGCTTAGTATCACAGGTGTAATACCTCTAATGGCTTACAAACACCAATGCAAGAAGATGATCGAGAAGAGAGGGTGAGGAGGCATAATTTTCGCTATAGTAACTTTAGGGTTTCTCAGGTGGCCGAAATCTATAGCCTTAGGGGTCCTTAAATAGCTGAGTTGTTAGGGTTTTAGTCAAAACCCTAATTGGATAGCTAAGGCCCTAAGCAACTCCAAGAACCTTCTGGAATAAGGCCCTTGGACGAAATCTGAGTGGGCTTCCATTCTAATTTCGTCCCCCTCATTTCCATAAGGACCGATAGCCCAAATCCAACTATCTTATAATTGGAAATATCAATCCCTTTAGTTCAATTAATCTCTTTTAATCACAAAATTAATTTCCTATTAATTCTTGATTAATATTAACTAACTAATACGATTTCTCTTTTAGTATATTATTCATATAATATATTAATAACCCATAATAACCTCTCTCTCTCTCTCTCCATAAATCATCTTGTCCAGTTGCTTTGGTGAAGGTAACCCAAAAGGATCATGCACAACCGGGTCAAGTACATACTAAATATAGTTATGGACTTAGATACTAATCCAACAACCTCTTACTTGGATAAGTCTAATAACAATAAATGCAAGTACGACTTCAGGATCCGATTAGCAATCGTAGCTCTCAAAGACTCTGTCAAACTCTGATCTTATCAGTAACCTGTCCTTTAGATAAGGGATCGTATAGTCCTCCATTCTAGATATCGTGTGGACAATTACATGGAACATAGTCATACTTATTGTCCAATAGTTTCTTTCTCGATCTCAGATTTCTCTGACATAGAACTTAATTGAACACATCAATTCACAACTGACCGGGCCCGATACATAAGTCAAACCAAATCACCGAGGGGCCTATATACCACTTATCCTCTTGGGATAAAAGAAACAGATAAACTTCGACTTATATGAATTTTCCATTCACTCATCAAATCATGCACAACAATACGTTTTATAACATCAAGTTACTGATGCGTTTATGCATTATCAATGCACAACCAACTCACAAACAATAAACCATATATTTAGATTTAAAGACCATATGATATTATCGTCTTGCGATCACTCGTGATAAATTCCATGAAGTGATTCCAGCAAGCGTGGGTTTAATCCAATGCTCAAATCTTATTTCATAAGCACTCATGAACGTCGCAACAAACTTTTGCTATGTCTAATACACTTTTAGACAATCTACATGCCAATTCATGACAGCCTTCTTTCATACCTACTTCTAAAGTATGGGTGACTGTGGACTGTTAGAATAATCTTATTATTCAGGAAGAAAAAACATGAAAAGTGAAACAATAGGTAAATAATTAACACAAGACAATAACTTTACTTATAAATAATACTCCTTTATTTAATCATCAAATGTTAATTACAATTTATCTATTACACTTTTCGAAACTATCAAATCTAAACTAATATCGTCCTTCAGTCCAATGCTCCTAGCATGCTACAAGTGCTTAACCTTACTCAGTCCCTTCGTGAGGGGATCTGCTAGGTTATCCTTTGACGATACCCTCTTCACTACGAGGAGTCCTTCTTCTACCCGATGTCTAATAAAGTGATATTTCCTGTCGATATTTCGGGATCTACCGTGATCCCTCAGTTCCTTGTCAAGGCAACCGCTCCTTCATTATCACAGAAAATTTCCATAGGCTCCTTTTGATGGGTTTTGGTCATAAGACATCCTATGTGCTCATACAAACCCTAATGCTTGGATCTAGGTTTCTCTATTGTACATGCTTTGAATCCAAGACTATAAACCCTAATTCTAACATATGGAAATCGACATTAACATATAATTAGGTTTAAGAACATACCTTGATTGTTATATAGCAATAACAATCACAACTCCACCTTGGATTGACTTTGGAATGCTTAGAGTCACAAGTGTCACTCCTCTAATGGCTTACAAACACCATAAGCAAATGGAGAAGGTATAAAGAGAGAGGTGAGAGGTTAGAATTCGTATCTAGGACCTCTTGGGAAGGGATACACGAATTCATGACCCTAGGGGTGTTTATATAGGTGTAGAGATAGGGTTTCAGTCATTATCCTTATCTAGTTGATTATCCATTAAGCAACCAATAAGATAATCCTTGAATCCTTATCATACTCGAATTCTAAGGCTTTCCAACCTTAAATTCGTCCACCATATAAATAAGATAATCCTTACCTTATTTTGTAACTATCACATAATTACAAATCAGCCCCACTAGTTTAATTAATTACATTTGATCACAAAACTAATTCTTAATTAATTATTGACCAATATTAATTAAACAAATATGATTTCTCCTTTAATATATTATTCTTATAACATATTAATAAATCATATTATCCTCTCTCTCTTTATTCATTTCTCCAATCA